ACGTGAGGGAAGGAAAACGTTCGGTGTGTAAGGTTCTTTGAGCAGCTCGCGGGCCGTGCCCTGAGCTGACCCCAAGCCTGGCGCAGGCCTCCGGGCTCTGGGCCTGGGCTGAGCTTCTGTGGTTTCCTATTGCAGGCGACGGAATAAATCATCCCGTGTAACAGGCTGAGGTGTCTTCTTTCCAGGTACCCGAAAGATGCTGTAGGCACTGCGGCGCAGGCCAGCATTTCTGAAGCCTTTGTTTTTCCTCCTTGGCCACAGGCTGCCTCAGTGGAGTCGGGTAAGTCAAGCCTGGATCCTCTGAAGGTGCCCATTGCCTGCTAAGGATCTCGTTTCATCGCCGGTTTTCATCTTTAATAAGGAATTGGAGTGTTCCTTCAAGCAGATTTTCAGGGTGGAAATATTAAAGAGTGTTTTGGATATTTGGCTGGGTTGGTGGGATCTTGTTAACTTTCTGAGAGCGCTGCCTGGGTTAAATAGCATATGTAATATAAATGTGCGATATTATCAGATTTAGCTCCTTGGTAATTACATGTCAACTTGCAGCCACCTCTTGTAGCTGGCCCTATGTCAGCACCGAGTTCAATTCATCATGGTAGAAGACTTGCTTGCAGCTGAAGTAAATGAGCTAGTCCCTCTCTACACCTCAGAAGCTTTGATATGCTTATTAGGCACAGTCCTCCCTCTCCCTGCCTAAGCTTTCAAGGCATCAGACATAAAGTAAGTCTGCTGGAGGACTTTGAGAGTGGGTCTTTCTGATCTGTGAGGGAGTTTCAATGCTGATTCTGTAGCTTAACTAAGTGAAAACTATCTTGAGTGGGTTCCCCTCTTTTTATTTATTTTTTTTTAACTCAAATCCCTTACAACAGTATTTTCTCTCGCGCTTGTGAAGTGTAAAGTGTGATGGCTTCTGACTTGCTTTTTTTGGTGAGCTAGTTCAGCTGCACAGAGCTGAGCCAAGATCTGACTAACACAGCTGTGCTGTGTTAAAACAACAGACAATGATTTCTTGTTCCTACAAACTGCCAGGGATTCACGAATCAGTTCTGTACTTGCTGCACTTACACAGTTAACTTGCAATTGAATTGTTTGTTCGGAAGGGTTAATAAGATCTCTAAACCCATGAAACAAAAAGGAAAACTTGAGTTGGAATGTATATTGCATATCCCCAGTACGGAGTTTGAAATCTGTATGTTGCTTAAGGGCTCAGTAGAAGTAGGCTCCCCTAGAGCTGTAGTTTTGGACTTGTGTATGTGTATTAAGTGAGAGGAATGCCTCACGGTTGTCATTAAGGAGACATATTTATCAGAGGGTTTCCATGTGACCTTACATTGTTGCTTTAATTTCTCTAGGATACATGGGTGTATATTCCTTCTCCTCTGAACTAAAGTGGTTCCATGTCTTGTCTGGTAAGTTTGTATTTAAAAATCTCTGGCAGTTGTAACTTGTTACCTAGTCATACCTCAGTGTGAAAAAGTCCTCCTGAAATGCCCTGCTTGAGGGGATTTCCATAACATTGAGATGTTTAAACTTCGTTGTATCAACTTTTGATGAAGGAGACTGTTTAGTATCTCTTCGCTCTGGGTCTGCCCTGTAGGCACGCTATGCCATTTCTTAACCTCTTATTTAACTGACTTGTAGCAGAAGACTCTGAACTCCCGCTTACAGAGGCTGCTTTTTATGTTCTCTCACTGCCACGCGTAATAAATTGCAGCGACTCCAGTAACATTCACTTACTTCTGTTCTCAAGGACTGTGCCTGTATTTTACGTACGCCAGTTGAATCAATCAAGCCAGAAGAGCTATCTCAGAGCAGCGTTCATGAATGCCTGGTAAGAGGAAAATAGAAACATTAACTGGCAATAGAATAGAACAGTTTTGGTTGGAAGAGACCCTCAAGATCAAGTCCAACTTTTTTCCTAGCCCTATCAGCACCACTAAACCACGTCCCCTCAGCACAACATCTACACTTCTCTTAAACACCTCCAGGATGGTGACTCAACTCCCTCCCTGGGCAGCCTGTTCCGACGGCTGACATCCCTCTTGGTAAAGAAATTCTTCCTGATATCCGACCTGAACCTCCCCTGGCGCAACTTCAGGCCATTTCGCCTCGTCCTATCATTCAGTACAGCAAAAAAAAAAAAAGCCCCAAAAAACCAGAATACTTTGGGGCTTCCACTTTGGAAGAAGACTATAGATAGCTAAATGTTAAGTCTTAATATTGTACCAGTTTAAAAACAAGCACACACACAAAGAAAAACAAGCAAAAAACCAGTAGCTTATAAAACTATAAAGCTAAAATCTCAGTGTAATGGTAAAAGCACCAGTTTGAATTCTGACTTGAGTACTTGATCGTAGCATTCTAATGAATGACATTTCTGTGATAATTTTAAACATGTAAATGTTTAAAAAATTACATAGTAATTTCGAGAACCATTTTTCTTGGCTTCTAGGCTGATTCTGATCTAGCCTGGATTCCGCCAGCTACAGGAAGGAAGGAAATGGTATTTTGCTCTTCTAATGCCTCTCACTATGAACTCCAGCTGGAACTAGGTAATGTGTACCTTAAAACATTTCTGGCTCCTGCAGATGCATGTTCTCAATAGGTTATTGCTAACCCTAGTAAATATTAAGTATGGAAAGTGTATTATCAGCTGACTAGTGCTGGGAAAAGTGCAGAACATTGCTCAGGTTTCACTAATCTTTTATTTTACGGTATAAGGAAAATCAGCAATTGCCTGAATTTTTCTCTTGATGTTTGTGCATGTCAGTTCTCTAAATGGATGGTATGTGAATGATAAACACAGCAAGTGACACCACGTCATGTCACTTGGCTGCCCAAACTGATTATTCTAAGGATGGCTGCCCTGAATCCTACTGTGCAGGGGTATGTTTATGTGAATATGTGTATGTACGTTATAAGAGTTGTTCATTTAGATGTATAATTGGTACAAACATTTAAACACATCCAGTGGTTCTAAAAACAGCAGAGACACGCTTTAACTAATTTGCTGGATATATTTTGCTGCAACTACTTAAGTTCTTGACATAGTTAAAGAAAAGGTCATGCTACTATCAATTTTCAATTTCAGAACTGTAAAATTATCTCTTAATATGGAGGAAGTTACGTGGTAGATGATTATATTTTCCAATGTTAAGGCAGTCACCTCTGGTTTCAGGAAGGAGGTTCAACAACTTAACTTCAGTCTACCTTGCACGACATACGCCTTCAGGCACGCGAGTTGCCGTAAGGATCACAGACCTAGAAAATTGCTCTGAAGAGCATTTGCAAGCCTTACAGGTAAAGCAACAGCATTTCTGCCCAAGCCTGATGAAGACAGTGATGAATCCATATGAGGTTAGGTTACTAAACAGAAGTAGCCTTTGTTTGGGCAGGGTCATTTCAGTCAAACTTTTCGTCCGAAGGCGTAGAATATAAACACAAAGCATGTGTAATTTTGAGGGTTGCTTTCTGAAGAAAACAGCTGACAACTTTAGAAACGCTTCTGCAGACTAGGTTTACTTCAGACAAATGCAGTTACAGGCAGGTTATTTATGTTTCTGTTGCAGGCCACGCACATCACCTGCAGCTTTGTGTACACGTACGCAGGGAACAGTTCCTGTACTGATTACTGATGTAGTTAATGCACCAGCCACGAGACAACAGTCTTACTAACACATCCATTTTCATTTAATTCCATAGAATGAGGTGGTTTTATCCCACTTTTTCCAGCATCCCAATGTAATGACGCTTTGGACAGTGTTTACAGCTGGTAGTTGGCTTTGGGTCATCTCCCCATTCATGGCCTATGGTAAGAACAGTTAACTGCAATTTGGAATAGGAAAACGCACTGATACAGTTTGGACCACGGCATCCGCAAGAGGTTTTTCTTTAAGCATCTCCTGTTTTGTAGGAAAAAAGCAACAAACTTTCCCAAACTGTTTGTTTAGAGAAGTCTTCTGTACATAATCTTCCTCCCCACTGAAGAATGGTATTTGAACTGCATTCAATTTCCCTTAGTCCTAACACCCAGTGGGTAACTGGGAGACATATTTGACTTTCTGTAACTTTGAATTTTGCCAGTGGAAAACTCGTCTAGATTGACGACAGATTTGGCACAGACTTTCACTGAACAGAAGCATGACTTGAATGTGGTCTTTGCCTGACAGATGCATCAGTTGCATCTGTGTAACTGTTCTTGATGTACTAGAGCCACTCTTGATGAATGTATAGAATGAAGCAAGCATAGACAACTAATTTAAAAAGACTTCTTAGGCTTAGCCAGGTTTGGGGTTTTTTGCTTTCAGGTTCAGCTAGGCACCTGCTGAAGACTTACTTTCCTGAAGGAATGAGTGAAGCTTTGATAGGGAACATTCTGTTTGGTGCAATCAGAGGATTAAGTTACATGCACCAGAATGGCTACGTTCACAGGTAGGAGAATGTCAATAGGTAAGAACCAGATTACAGCATCCAGTATATTAAGAAATTCGTTTCACTTAAAAACTCATTTTCAGCTCAAGTGTTGTCTCCTTCCTTTTTCCATAGCCATTCTTACATCAGAGAGTGCAGAAGCATTTTCTTTTCAATAATACAGCAGAACCAAGTTTGTAGAAGCTTAACAAGAATAGTATTCACACACACAAAAAAAAGCCAGTTGTTACAGGAATTATACGTCTGTCTGGCTTTGCTTCTTTGAAGCAGAGAAGAATCAGAGTTGTAGAAAGGGCTTCCTTACTTTACACCCTTTGCAGCCAAGCAGGGCCCTTCTGAAATTGAGAGCAGGTTTTTTGGTGCTAATCGTCTCTCCTCTCTCTTGGGGCTGTATTAAAAAGACAACTCGTACTGAGTGAAGAACGTCCGTGAAAATAATCTGTTAAATAGAACTGCACGCTAACATCTCACTATGTTAATGAAATATGAAAGCCTTTCTGCTCTAATAGTGCCTTGAGTAATTCTCATAACTAAAATGTACCACTTTATGTTACAGGAATATTAAAGCTAGCCACATTCTGATTTCAGGGGATGGGCTGGTTTCTCTCTCTGGCTTAAGCAACCTCTACAGTTTAGTTAACAATGGACAGAAGTCAAAGGTGGTGTATGATTTCCCCCAGTTTAGTACATCCGTGCTTCCTTGGCTGAGTCCTGAACTACTGAGACAGGTTAGTATAAATTACGCTTCATCTTTCCTATTCAGACTTAGTGGAAGCACTCAGCTTCTGACTTAAGTCTCCAATGGAAGCTGTTGAACTGCGACTTTTTAAAAAGACATAGATGTACTGAATTTGTAATTCTTCTAAAGAGAACCAGTTTTCAACCTGTTGGTAAGGTGCTGCTGCACTAAGTCTCTTTACCTGGCCTTCCTGGAAACTACTGAAGATCCTAAAAGTTGTCTTCAGTACAAACATCGGATTTCCGAACAAAGCCTGAGGTTTCACAGTTTAATTGCCTCCTTCCTGTGTAGATTACAGGGTGTTAGAATCTTGTCTTGAAACAGGCACATATTTTTGTCAGCGCTGCTCACTGAGACCAGTGATCCCACAGAGTTTTCTTTCTCTCGCAGGATTTGTCTGGGTATAACATGAAGTCTGACATTTACAGTGTGGGAATTACAGCATGTGAATTAGCCAACGGGCACGTTCCGTTTCAAGATATGCCTCACACTCAGGTAAAATCTATTCCTTCTTCCAAACACTTTTTTTTTTTCTGTTTTACTTGGAGTAACTGAAGCTATTACTGCTGAAACATGGCTGCTTTTTGTTCTTCCAAGTATGCAAATAATCCTGGCGTATCACAGTTTAGGTCTGGAGAGCTGCTGAACTCATGCTGCTATTCCTTTCCACTAGATGCTGCTACAAAAGCTGAAAGGTCCTACTTATTGTCCTTGGGATGTACACACCCTTCCCTGTGGGGAATCCAGGATGAAGAATTCCCGATCAGGTGTTGATTCTGGAATCGGTGAGAGCATGACACGCACTATGACCAGTGAAAGACTACAACTTCCCTTTTCCAAAACGTTTTCACCTGCCTTCCATAACTTGGTAGAACTTTGCTTGCAACAGGACCCTGAGAAAAGGTAACCTGGTGAAAACTAATTTTCTGTCACTTCACTCTAAGACGACAGTTTAGGATACAGTAATTGGTTGAATGTTAAAGTCAGAATTTCAGATGAGAAGTACTGGGCAAAACCCTACACTCTACCTTTGGGTTTGCAATTTAAGAATTGTCTTGTCTGATAAAGGAACCATAGTTTTAAAGTAATCTGACCCTTGAATTTTTTGCAATATGAATGTACGCCACAGAGCTTAAATTGGTTTGTCAGTCTGGCCTATTTTCCAAAAGTAGTGTTTTGCTTTCCAAGACATAATTACATTGTTCATTTTGTGATCCAGGCCATCAGCAAGCAGTTTGCTTTCGCATACGTTCTTCAAACAGGTAAGCTTGCTTCCTTCTGTTAAATGACACAGCTATAACCTCAATAAGTCATAAAATATTAAGAGTTGGATTACAAAATAATGAAGTTAGATAGAGCCAAAAAATATCCTGTAACAGCATGTCTGCTTCAGACTTATTTATATTTTTTTAACAATAATGATAAAGTATAGGAAGCATAGGAATGATCCATTTCCCCTTTGATAAAGTCAGTTTAATTTAAGTCAGCCTAACTTAATAAGAGTAACGGTTAATATTCTTAATTTAAAGCAGAAGAACTGCATAGCTAGTGGCATTAGTCTTGACAGACCAATTCAACTTCCTCTGTAGAGTCAGGGAAGATAAACCCCTTATCCTGTTATTTTCCGTATTGTAACATGCAAGAACAGGGCTCTGACTTCACGTGGTTTTAATGAAGTCATATGCAAGATTACGTAGACTTTTATATGCAGCCCTATTTTAACTTTTCTTCCTTCTAGATAAAAGAACAAACAGAGAATTCCCTACTGTCTTTATTACCACCTCCTATTCAAAATAACAGATCAGAGCTCTTAGTGATGCCTTCAACAGCAATTGGGACTGAACTTGGACATATTGCTGCAAAGCCAGACGATACAGAATGGGAATTCTAAATAAACACCAACCAATCATACCTCTCCTGTGCTTCAAAGAAGGAAAATGTGATTTGTTTTTGCTGCTTTAGTTTATGTGGGTAAAATACAATGAGACGAGGTATACTTGAAAATGCCATGGAAGTGGCCATATTTTGTTAACTACTTCCTCCGCTGGCATCACGCAGTGCCACGTGCCTCACTTGCTGACCATAAGGAAACTGTGTATAGGGAATGGCTGAAGGTTTATCTCCCTCTTCCAAATTATTTTTTAACAAAAGAGTTCCTGCTGTAACCTCACTCCGTGCTGTGTTCTCAGCTCTCATCGCTGCAGCCCGCATGCCTTCCTGAATTCAGGCTTGGGGTTTGTCGGTGACGTTAATGAAGTGTTCTATTCGTCTTCTCGTTATCACTCGAACTGTTTTTAACAGGGAGAAGAAATACTCCACTTCCAAGTCTAAAGTTGAAACCGCACAAATCAGTTGCTTATGTAAATAAGTATTTTTTTCACACATCCCCAAAGGCATTTATTTCACGTGCTGTCATACTTGCCAAAAGTGAGGCATCATTTCTCATGCAGTTTTAATACTGTGTGCTTCCCAAAGAAGTTAAGCTTGAAAATGTGACCCATGTTCTTGCATTTGTCTACATTCTTAGTAGAAATTTGTGCTGTTGCATTTCCATTTCTTGTTGTGTCTTTTTTAGCAATTAATGTGAAGACTTCTTACTATGCAAAATAAGTCTCGAGTTACAACAGGTACAGGTTAATTTTGAAGAATTGTATTAAATACCCTAAAGTTACCGTACATATTTTTATTTATACCGTGTTCCTTATCATCACCAGAACTTACCAGGAGCTAATACTGTTTTCTTAAAACAACAGGCAACATCCATTAGGCTTCACTGGCACTGCTGCTGGCAAACAAGCCTCTTCTACAGTTAAATTCCCATAAATAATATTTTCAGCCATAAAAAAAAAGTCTAATAAACCCTCTGGGATCCTAGTGAATTTGTCTGTTGTAAAAACTGCCTGCAGTTCAGTACGTTCTCGTATTGTACCAGGCAATTCAAGCTGAAAAAAAGCAGCTGCTTTGAAAAAAAAACCACAACTGCTTATTCTCATCATGTTTTATCAACAGTTGTGTCCCAAAGCCCTGACTGTAGTAAAAAAAAATGTGTAAATAGGTAGCAAATGGATATATTTTAAATTTTCAACATAAACGACATTCCACATTGTCTTCCATACATGAGCTGGTCTGCAGCTGACCTTGAGAATACTGCTGTTCTGCCAGTGACTTCATGATAAAGCCTTGAAGACCCAATGACCAAAATGCAAGCCTGAGACAGACTTCGATCTAGTGATTTAGCATTTTAGGTATTAACAAAAAAGTTGATTCTACTCCTTATGCTGTGAAGAGAAATCTATATTTGAAAACCTAATATGTGAAACTTTAAACACCTTTCAATAAACCTACCCTGTCTCCATTTATTTCTGTATTCTTGTTCTTCTGTTTTCACCTAAAATCATGAATTGGTTTGGGCTGGAAGAGACCTTAAAGATCATCCAGTTCCAGCCCCCTGCCTTGGTTGCTCAAAGCCCTATCCAGCCTGGCCTGGGACACCTCCAGCAGTGGGGTTACCCCCAGCTTCTCTGGGCAACCCCTTCCTGTGTCTCACCACCCTCACAGTGAAGAACTTCTTCCTAATGCCTAATATAAATCTACTCAATGCCTAATATAAATCTACTCTCAGTTTGAAACCATCACCCCGTGTCCTACCACTGCCCTCCCTGATAAAGTGTCCCCTCCAGCTTCCCTGTAGCCCCTTCAGGCTGTGGGAGGCCGCTATTAAGTCTCCCCGGAGCCTTCTCTTCTCGAGGCTGAACAGCCTCAACTCTCTCCTCATAGCAGAGGTGCTCTTTGATCATTTTTGTGGCCTCTGGACCTGCTCCAAGAACTCCATGTCCTTTTTATGTCCAGTCACATTAACACTGAAAACAGGTTCATGGATACAGCTGTGTTCTATTGAAACCCTGAAGTTTTTTGTATTCAGTCAGCAAAGAACCTGAGCTTCATGTTCTGTATCGTGCTGGTTTTTAGCCGAGATGGGTAAAAGCATTTGGAAACCCTTGTTCTGAACATCTCTGACAGGAGGCAGATCCTTAAGTAGGTGACTTACGTACCACCTCTTTAATGGTAGTAAGTAGCTTTGCTAAGTATATTAAGTTGTCTAATAAACCTCTAAACTAAGCTGGCTGGAATGACCTGTCCTGATGATGGTCATCCCTGTTCTGTATCAATGAGGAAAACCTACTAAAATTCAGGGATGCTACACAACACATCCAGTGAAGCAGGCTTCAAAAAACCATGAGTAAGAATCGTACTATGAAATAAAGCTAGTTGATAGAACACATCAGTAAAGGCTTAAGTATTTAAAAAATAAAGTACTGAAAGATTGAGATGGTATAATAAAAACCAGCTAGCAAAGTAACATTTGGTAGTTATCAGAAGCGTAAGATAGGATGAAGGAAAGAATATTAAGTTTAAACAGGTTCCTGTGGAAATTGCCACCGTGGCCCAATGAAAATAACCAAATCGACTCCATAAATTAGTTACATAAATACGTTACTTATCCAAAGCTCCGTGAAGTTCCTGAAAAATGTCAAAAAACCTTATAGGAAAGGAGCTGCAATACTGGATTTACCCACCAATCCAGACTCACGGAATCTGTATTTGTCCTATTGTGCAATCCCGCTGCAATAGAGGAGACTCTTAACAGAGGCTGAAATCTGGACTGACGGTCTTAGGAGGGATTTCAAAGTTTAAGTTATGGCAAACCAAACAGACACACTAATAATTAAGGAATAGCAGATCAGAAATTCCTAGGAGAGAACTCTGTCAACTGCTTTCGCTCACGTAGCTCTAATGCTGCAGTTCACGTTGATTGACCACTTTAGAAAATCCACTTGAAAACATTTCTATTTTTTTACGTACTACAGGTATTTTCTTTCACATTTCCGAAATGCACGAGATTCTTGTTATTCTGCTGCCAGAAACACATTTTCCTTCAAAATAATTTTTTCTTGCGTTGTTATGGTCTCTTTACGTAAGCCGCTAGCCTATCCCAACAATTAGTTACAATTCGGATTAAAATTGCACCATGTGCAGCACCTTGTTTTGTAAATTCCCTGTCACACCCTGCTCACAAGAGGGGGGCAAGTGACATAGATTCGTAATTCCCCAGCGGAGCGGACAACGGTGAGACACGTCTCAAGGTCCATATGCAAACATTTATTGATTAGCAATTAAACTGGACTCACGAGAGCCAGATAAGTACATGACACCTTAGGGCAAGCGATATAACTTGACTTAATGGTAACGAGGAAAAGACTGGGCACACAACAAACCGCAGCAAGCCGTCTGCTACTGAATAAAAGGCCGAGACGTGTGACAAATTACAGCAAGAAATATAATACTTACTTTATACTTAGCCTTTCTTTCTTGCAATCACTAAGGAAGCAGTATGATATGCCTTGCACTACTTCATGAGAAAGAGCGAGCTCACTGGCCTGGGTTCCTGCGTTGGTCCCACCAACAAGGGTTCAAAGACACATCCATCATCTTCTCTTCTTCTCTTCTTCTTTATTTTTCACTTCTTCTCCATTTCTTCTTCTTGTCTTGTCTTCTTTTCTTCTCCCCTCATTATCGTTGTCCCCTCTTAATTTATGCACACTTTCCCTCCTCAGGCTGATTTACACACTGACGTATCGTACGTGGGGGGCGAGGTAAGGCCCTTCATGGGATGCATTAGAGATACTGCAGGAACGTTCTTATTATCATTATTATTCTCATCATCACCACTACTGCTATTCTTTCTTAATTTTTCATCGTAACCTGGGAACATTATCTTCTCAAGTGAGATCCCAAGTAAGACCGTTCTTGAGCTCTCAGTCTTTGGAAATGTTTCTAGTAACAAATCTTGGGGCATTTCACAGAATTCGCCTGTTTCTTAGGACTGACTTCCATTTGGCTCTGCTTGAATATTTTCAGACTTTAAGCTGGCAGCATTTGCTGTAACTTTACGAATACAGAGATGCTAGGCAAGAATTTACAAACTGTACTCTGGAGGTCTCTTTAGCTGACCTACAAATACAGGGAACTAGCACGAGGCCTTGCAGAACAGAGTGGCTGATTCACATGCTCCCAAAGCTCCTCCTAAATAATGTATTTTTGCTTGATTGCATCAAGAAAACAAGATTATTCAGACTTCGTAATCAGTGACAACATATGTATTCCAAAATACATTGGCTCTAAAATCTTTGTCCAGAACCTGTTGTCCTGTATCTGTCCACTTCTTGATATATCTCCTAATAGTAAAATTAGGTTTATTCCAGTAGTAGTAGTAATAAAATGTAAGAGTAAGGATAGTAAGTACATTATTAACAGATTTTACTGGGTTCCTGTAAGCCCTTAGGATGTAATGGCTCCACGAATGTAATGGCAGGTGGGTTTCACGGGGCAGGGGAAGGGCCCTCGCCCAGCTGGGAGCTCTTCTCCCCCCCTCAGGGAAGAGACGCAGCGGCCCGGAGGCACCGAACATTAGTAACAGCCAGGAAAAAAAAGAAACTTTCTCTTAAGTGGCTGCACTGGGGGACACGACAGCACCTTCCACACCACCGCGAGAAAAAAGGAAGAGGAAAGGTAAGGCTCAGCCACAAACACCTACCTGATGATTTACTCAAAACCTTCAGTCGTTTAAATTAATTCTCTAAATCCGCAGGTGAATAATTCCAACCTATGCACAACCCTCCCGAAGTTTATCTCAGGCATTTAAAAGGCACTTTTCGGATTAATGCCACCTGGCTTCACACTGAGAAAGCTGAATTGAGAGACATTTAAAAGAAAAAACAAAGGGAATTTAAGCATAGTTTAAATGCTTGCCTTTAAGAAGCAAAAATAAGAACAGTTTAGCTCAGAGCTTGTATATTATACATAATATTAGCATTGGGGAAAAAAATTAGACTAATTTATTTTAAAACAGACAAATCACTTGGAGACAGGACAAAGTACTACAATAATTTTTAACTAGTTTGGAGCAGTCGTTTAATTATTTCATATATGTACAAACAAGAAATTGGCACTAATATATTTGTCATTTTTCCATTAACACAAAAATGCTGCATTAAAAACAATGGTGTGGAAAGGTACAAAGGCATTTCGTTAAGGCTTCTATAGATATTGCAT